TGTAATGTGGTAAAAGACCTTCGCATATTCTCGTCGTATCACAAAGTTATTGCCAACAAATGAGTAATGTTTCAGGCACATGACGACTTTTCTCAACACTCGCGAGAATCCATTCTCATCTTTTCGATCATGGTAGACTAACACGTTCTGATTTCCAGTTTCAGGCACGGAAAGCTTAAAATTGCAAGCCGATCTTCGACTCTTGATGCATTCGCGTGGAAGATCTTAGAGAGACGGAAGTATAATCGATTGGAAGTAAGTTCCACAGTTTCGTCATTTGACGGCAACGGGAGCACAAGATATGTAAGATTCTATTTGCAGTAGGCGAACGCGAATTAACGGACGAGATGATCGCAAAGTGTCTCTCTCTCTCTCTCTCTCTCTCTGTCTCTTCCTTCGCGTGGTTAAAACTCAACGCCATATATACAGTGGAGAGCCGAAGCTCCTGCTTCCTTCATCTATCATGCGAACCATGACAAACCGAGTCTCAAAAGCAGCCGCCAGCGTAGCAGCACTTTCTTACCTTCTTCACTTAGTCACCGGGCGCTCAGGTGAGCTTCTACCTGCCTGATATACAGGCAGACCTCTTCTCCTTCCCTCTCCCCCTCTCCCCTTTCCCTATCTACATTTATTAACATTTAAGCGTTAACGACATTTCTCTCTCTCGCGTGCGCGAGTCTCAGGAGAAAAAGAAGCAAGAACCGTTGCCGGCTACTCGTATCTTGCTTGCCTTCTACCTCCTTTCGATTCGGACGCGGGGTTCTTTGTTTCAAAAAATACTGCTGCGAAATCGATTAAATGAAACAATCACGGTAATTCCAGAAATCTTTGTGCGCGTGTGCGACACGTTAATTAATCTCTCTCGTGACCGCGAAATATCTCTCTCGACGTGAAATATCCATGAGAGACACAATGTTGTGAAAATTAACGATTCTAAAGGAATTAAACGGAATGAAAGATGCGAGTTACAACTGTATGGTGACGCGTGTTGCGGATCACGGTGAAAATCGTGGAGATTCATGCGTTTTCTGCTCCGCAGATATCGGATGGAAAGCAAAGTGGCGTGAATGAGTTGTCCCTTGACGATCGTAAGATTTATGGTCGCGACGCGGTTGGGCGGAAAGGGCAAGCGTCGGTACGACTCGGGACTAGTAACCCTTGACCCAGACTCCACCGGAGTCCACCCTCGGTATGACCACGATAGAGCACTGCATGATTGACGATAAAGATACGTTGTATAAAACGTTTGGACGTTACTTCATTGAGACTTCATTCGTTCGACGTCTACTAGATCAGGCGAGTAGACTGTGCGCGAACATCGCGAAATATCTCGTCACATGGTTCTGAAAAAACGGAAGCGTAGCGCGAAAAGCGATTGCACGATATAAGAGTGCAGGTTAAAGCGCAATTTTCTAGTCCTTCGACGTTTTTCTCTTCTTTCTTTTTTCTTTTTCTTTCTCCTGCCTGTAAGGCCTTTGGTCTTTGTCGGAGAAAAAGTTAATAGCTTGGAGAAATTAGCCAATGTGGGGAGGATCGTTGATCGGGGATCGTGTTTCGGGAGGGTGTTCTGCACAGATGCAACGATAGCACTGTCTCTTCCTTCGCGTGGTTAAAACTCAACGCCATATATACAGTGGAGAGCCGAAGCTCCTGCTTCCTTCATCTATCATGCGAACCATGACAAACCGAGTCTCAAAAGCAGCCGCCAGCGTAGCAGCACTTTCTTACCTTCTTCACTTAGTCACCGGGCGCTCAGGTGAGCTTCTACCTGCCTGATATACAGGCAGACCTCTTCTCCTTCCCTCTCCCCCTCTCCCCTTTCCCTATCTACATTTATTAACATTTAAGCGTTAACGACATTTCTCTCTCTCGCGTGCGCGAGTCTCAGGAGAAAAAGAAGCAAGAACCGTTGCCGGCTACTCGTATCTTGCTTGCCTTCTACCTCCTTTCGATTCGGACGCGGGGTTCTTTGTTTCAAAAAATACTGCTGCGAAATCGATTAAATGAAACAATCACGGTAATTCCAGAAATCTTTGTGCGCGTGTGCGACACGTTAATTAATCTCTCTCGTGACCGCGAAATATCTCTCTCGACGTGAAATATCCATGAGAGACACAATGTTGTGAAAATTAACGATTCTAAAGGAATTAAACGGAATGAAAGATGCGAGTTACAACTGTATGGTGACGCGTGTTGCGGATCACGGTGAAAATCGTGGAGATTCATGCGTTTTCTGCTCCGCAGATATCGGATGGAAAGCAAAGTGGCGTGAATGAGTTGTCCCTTGACGATCGTAAGATTTATGGTCGCGACGCGGTTGGGCGGAAAGGGCAAGCGTCGGTACGACTCGGGACTAGTAACCCTTGACCCAGACTCCACCGGAGTCCACCCTCGGTATGACCACGATAGAGCACTGCATGATTGACGATAAAGATACGTTGTATAAAACGTTTGGACGTTACTTCATTGAGACTTCATTCGTTCGACGTCTACTAGATCAGGCGAGTAGACTGTGCGCGAACATCGCGAAATATCTCGTCACATGGTTCTGAAAAAACGGAAGCGTAGCGCGAAAAGCGATTGCACGATATAAGAGTGCAGGTTAAAGCGCAATTTTCTAGTCCTTCGACGTTTTTCTCTTCTTTCTTTTTTCTTTTTCTTTCTCCTGCCTGTAAGGCCTTTGGTCTTTGTCGGAGAAAAAGTTAATAGCTTGGAGAAATTAGCCAATGTGGGGAGGATCGTTGATCGGGGATCGTGTTTCGGGAGGGTGTTCTGCACAGATGCAACGATAGCAACAGTTCGGCCGGCTCGAACCGGAGGTCACATATGAGCTCGGAGCTATGGCGTCGTATGGGCTTGACTCACACGCATCACGCGTAGTCATCCATCATTGTCAGTCTCTTCACTGACACACAGCCGTCCGTCCTACCGACGCACTCGGGGCTCTCGATTTGAGTTTCTTTCGTCAAAGTTGTGATTTTGTATAAAATGTTGGAATGGTTCGCTGATCTACGATCTATCACTATTATCGTGATATTTATTTAATAATTTGGCTTTATTTTTTTATTAATCTTTAATTTAATAATTAAATCAATTTTATTACCGTATGGTCCTTCGCTTCAGCGCTCTTAACCGCTGAAACATTGAAAGCGAACGAGAGACTGCAACAGAGTATAGAGATAACTGTTAAAAAAAAAGGAAAAGAAAATGAAGACACACTCATTACTTTTTGCTATGACCTGTATTTGTCAAATGTATCCGTGAGTGAATGTACAAGAGATGTAGATTATCATACGATATATTGCTCAACGGTGTGTGTTTCAATATCATCAAATAATATTATCCACGTGGAACGACATATCAATCCGAATTAATTTTACAGATTCGTTTCATTTTTTCACAAAACGAATAGCGTAGGTAAAGTTTTTACAAGTGCATTCGTCTTTTTTTCGTAACAGTGACCAAGTAACCGATTCCAACTATTCTCCGTATTCAATAGGAGGACAATTTTTATAAGAGAAAGAGAAAGAGAGAAGAGAGAGATAGACATCTATTTCCTGTGTTTAATTAAAACTAACAAATTGTATTCATTTTTCAAAAGTTGTATACTCGGTATAGTAATCATGACTGTGTATAAATGCGATTTTATTCGTTTGTGTTCCATTAATCTAACTTTCATATGATATATATGTATATATATACATGTTGTGTCATTATTGTTGTGTCATTAATTATTGCTCATGCATCTACTCGTCTCGTTTCGTCGTTTAAAATCAAGAATAATCTCTCGTTTATCGCGTTATTGATTATCACATGAAAATTAAATACTTGCAGATGTGTAATTTAGAGAAACTTCTTCAAGATTTTCAAGCACGGCTAAATGTTTGAACCAAGCGTGCCAATGAACATATTATATCGAAAATGAAAGAAACATTGTTTCGGTGATTTACATGTTTCAGTTTACAAACACTCTCTCTCTAACGAGATACGCTAATGTGGAGACCGCTCGCGCCACAAGAAGAGATTGCACTTACACCTCGTGTTTTCGTTCACGAGAATCGCGGACTGCGCTAGAAATCGAAATTTCCATTCCACGATAGCGAACTTTTTGACGTATTTACAACATTCTTCGTGCACATTTGTAAAACACAGCTATATATCAGTCTAATATCACTTACAGGTCACACTTCGTCTCCTGCGAGTAAGAGTGTTTCACGAATCGAGACGGTGGCGATAAATTCACTTTGAAAAATTCACAGTTTAAAAAATTCTAGGATAAGGGAGAGAACTCTCTGTTTTTAATCCCCGCTCCAGTTTGAAATTAACACAACCATTGCACTCGTTGTCGTTGTTTTATATTTGTCGAAACATATTTCAACGTTTGGAATGTAAATTGATAGATTGACATCCTGCTCGATGGTGAGAAATATTAAAATCGACATTTTACTTGAATGTAATGTAATATAAATTGAGATGGCAAATTTGTAATCCAGGCTATCGTTGCAATCAAGAACAATCGACAATTTCGCTGGTAATCCGGATTACTTGAGATATACTTGCAGTTGTCGAACTTCAGTTTAAATCCCACATATTCCAGGTTTTATTATATTATATATTTATTATATAATTATTCTAAATCAGTCCTTTCATCTTGGTTAGCGCGGCTAGTCTCGAAAATAATTCCAAAAGGAATTATGCAAATTCGTGAAAGGAATTACTTTAAACCAGGCAATTATTCAAGGTCACATACGTGACTAACGTATAGACATACACACTGTTGACGGTATTTCTAATCTGAGCGACAACCCGTTGTATTTTTACACACAATATTCATTTACACGTAGTCCTACTAAATCACGAGTACATTAACGTATGTACAAATCACGTGGGCTCTCACATGCGGCTCTTATCACGACGGTTAGGTGGCTTCAGTACAAAGCATTGAGCAGGCATTGCTCGTCGCCCCAGTCCAGCTGGCAAGAGCTCTCGGTCTCGTGGACTCAGCTGAGCTGATAGTACTCGGGCGCGAAATCATTCGCCAGATTGCTCAGGAAGTTAAAGTCGGACGAGCTGTTACTGTTGTCAGCGGACGGTGGCGGCGGTGCCGCCGTCGCAGCCGAATGCACCGGATCGCCGTAGAAATTGCCGTAATTGCTGTAGGATTCGTTGTTACTGTCGGTCTGCCCAGTGCTCCCGGGTGGCGTGATAACCGCCGCGGTGGCGGCCGCGATCGCCGTCGCGGTCGTCGTCATACCGGGTGCCGGGAACGGATCGGGGGATGAAACGTAGCTGTTAGGGATGTTGGACGCCTCCCCTCCCTGATGAACGTGCAGCTGACCGGTCTGCTCGTAATACGCGCCCGGATGACACTTGCTGCCGCTTGGCCGATAGTCGCCCGAACTGGGATGCATTGGCGGTTGATGAGTGACGTAGCCCTCGGCAGTATGTTGCTGCGGATGCTGCTGTTGCTGCTGGATGTCGTTGAAATAGCCGTGCTGACCGGGCACGACGGCGTGGCCGTGCGTCGCCAGATTCTCGCCAGTCCCGCCATGATAACTGCCGCTGGTCGAGTAACCCGAGTAATTCCCGGGTGTCATGTAGCCATCGTTTGTGCCTTGCTCGTTCTGCGTCGCCGAGTATCCCTGACCAGTGCCGTAGGCGTTGGCGGCGCTCTGCATACCTCGGTGATAAGCGTGATAGGGCGGCCCGGCTTGCGGATACCCATTGTATTCCCCGGTGCTGCCGTACTGCAGCTGCTGCTGATGAAACTGCTGCATGTTGGCGGCGCCGTACATCGATCTCGATGTCGCGCCCGTTGTCGTTCGGGCGTGATGCGCCATTCTCGAGCCCACCGACTGGTTCTGCCTGACGTACAGAGAGTTCACCTCACCGGGATAAGAGATCCTTGGTTGCTGATACGCGTCCCGGGAGCAGTAACTATTCTGCGATTGTGTCTGTTGCGTCGCTGTAGGTATGTTCTGCCTGTTGGTGGGCAGGCCGTTCCGATAATCGACAGCCGGCGTCGACTGATAGACACCCTGCTGCTGGAAGTGCGCCTGCTGATTGCCTGAGATGCCTCGACTGCCGTGAGGCGACATCGTGCCTGGATTTGCGGAGGCATGCAATATTGGCGCCGGCAACGCGGTCGTGGAGGACGGTGAGCTACGCGGTCTCTGCATGTAGGCCGCGTGAGTCGTCTGCTGGATACCAAGGGGGCTGCCTTGCTGAAGCTGGACGGAGACGGGGGTGCCGGGTGTCGAGGAGGGCGTCAGACTTCTCGTGGAATTCTGACCGGGTAGAACCGGCGTGCTGACCGTCGAGTCCGGCATGGCCAGTAATACGCCGTTACTGTTAACCGAGCACATGTCCTTCCCGCTGGCCGATGGCGATTTCTTGCTCACCGATATCTGCTGTTGCTGCTGCTGCTTCGCGGTGTTCGGACTCTTATGATCGCTCTCGACTTTCACTCTCACCTCGCCCGACAATTTTTTCGTCACGCTCGGTGATGTCACTTCGCTCCCATCCTGCGACCTCGAATCGTCGTCCACCATCATCTTCTCAAATGAGCTAGACACGCTGTTGGTACTGCCGACGCTACTGGCACCATTGCTATTCGTGTTGAAACCAGTATTACTGTTATTATTGTTATTGTTATTAGTCGCGCCAGGTGTGTTGTTGTTGTTGCTGCTTCTTCGGCCAGAAGAACCTAGATCGGTAACGTCGCCGGTAAGAGTACTACCGACATCGCTTACACCCGAAATATCACAGTTATGACAGCTCTTCTTCTCGTCGTTATCAGGAGATAACATTTTGTCGCCTTTAGATTTCTCCATGCCATCCGATGTGGAACCGTCCTTCTCGTCGCCATCTTCTTTGCTGAGTGTCTGCCGTTTGTGTTTCATTCGTCGATTTTGAAACCAAACCTTCACCTGTTACAATGATAATGATGTTTATTTAATTAATTACTTTTTACATCCAAAAAAATAAATAACTAAAATTATATAGATAATTATACAAGAGAGAGATAAAAGAAAAACGCTTTACAATCTTTTAAAAGTTGAAAAAACATGAAAAAAACTACATGAAAATATTTTAAATATAGATATAATATATCTCAAATTAGAATGAATGATATAATGGATAATTTGTTTTTTATAGCATTGCTTGATTTTATCTGTTACCTGTCTCTCTGTAAGATCCAGTGATGCTGCGATCTCTATCCTTCGCGGTCGACAAAGATATTTGTTGAAATGAAACTCTTTTTCCAGCTCGAGAAGTTGGGTATTCGTGTAGGCCGTTCGCAATCTTCTTGGCAAGCCATTCTCTGTAAAATAAAAAAAAATCCACTACTCTCACAATCGACGTAATTATATTAAATTTAGAATAATATAACGCACACATTTTCTCAAGTACAGAATCAATTCAGTAACTGATTTATTCCCGTATTTCAGACAAAATATTGCATGTTTAAATATTTTACAAACCGTAAACATGTTTACGGAAGAAAAGCATATTGTATAAACGATTTATTTTAATATTTTACATCTTGTAACATGTTGAAGCTTTTACGTTCCGATATTCGTGTCGCCTTTACCGTAACGATGCTCTCTTTTTGTCTCTTACATGAAGTAAATGGTATTCTAATTAATGATCATTTAAGCAACCTAAGCGCACTATAGAGAGAGAAAGAGAGAGGGAGATAGGGAGCGAAGGTGGTTGCGACATGACATCCTTAACAATGCATAAGCGAAGATTCCCGCGCGGCGAAAAGGCCTATTCTTGTTCCGGCGAGTTACTGGGCTCCTTAGAAACTTTTGGGCAAGTTTCCCACCCAACGCTATTCCATGTCGATACGAAACACCTCCTAATTGTTATCGGACAAGAAACTTGTTCCGCGATAACAAGAGGAATGCCACGCGGGATCGGGAAGATGCGAAAGCGCAGGCGGTGGAGAGAGAAAGAGAGAGGTGATGCAAGGAAGGACCCGCGGCTTATATGTATATTCGGGGGCAGATCCGATCTAGAAAGTAGCGACCAAGTATCTCACGGTCTTTTGTCGAGGTATGTGACGTAAGAGTAATTTCTACCCAACTGCCGTAAACAATTATTAATAGCCGCCTATCGTAATTACGAGAATTCGCCGCACGCCCCGGAGGAGTAATATTTCAATCAAACTTGATGGCTCTCCGCTGGCTTGCGTTGTTTACAAGACGTGTCTTGACAAATTCTCTAGGAACAATGTATACTTTAGCATGGATCTTTGGAAAAACCTCGTATACTCCTCATCTATCTAAATAGTTTGAACTGTTTGATATTCTATGATCTAAGAACGTAAGAGGAAGACCTTAAGCGGACATTCAAAGAAAAAGCTATTTCACGCCAATATTTTATTCCATCGGTCACTGGCCATCTGGATTTCGAGAGTTTTTTTTCTTTCTTTTTTATCAAGGATCACAAGGGTGTTACACTTTTTTACGCGTCGCCGTATCGCGAGAGAAGAAAAAAAAACCGATACGCCGTGACGCAGTTTGGGCAAAGGGAGACAGCGAAGGGAAAGGAGGGAGGTGGTTCGTTTCGTAGGGCCGAGATGCTAAACTACCCCATAGCGTGCGAGCGGATGTGGGGTGCCTGAGGGGTGGTTCGACAGTAGGATGAGTCGTCAGGGGTTAAAGGAGAAAGAGAAAGAGAATGATTGAACGAAATAGAGAGAAAGAGACGTAAAGAAGACGAAAGGTAAAAAGAGGAGGATGTAGTGACTGAAAAAGGTTGGAGGGGATACGTGATAGAGATGGTTAGAATGAGATGGAAGAATGGGAGAAAGAAAGAAAGAGAGAGAGCGAGAAGGGTGGGAGAGAGAGGATACTCACAGGGACGAGGGAGAAGGGTGTAGACTGAAGATGTAGTAAGCTTTGAACCTAGCAAATCCTGCACGTGGAGTTTCCACAGGGTGAGGGCGACGGTGGCGAGATGAAAGTATCGCATGATTGACGTGGGCCTCATCAGCATTTCGGTCTTGCGATTGGTTGGACGAAACTGTCGATCAAACTCCACTCCACGCCCTGTATCTGTTCAATCGTTCCAGGAGTTTAATTCAATCCGACGATGAATGCAGAGCAATATTGGGGTGGCAAATAACTATCCGATATATATTAAATATTTAAAGTATTTTTAGAGAAAAGCAGCTTTTATAAAATACCAGTTATCTCGCTGGTGGTAATCAAATATTGCTCGCTCGTGTTTGTGAATAAAATAACGTTACAATATCATTATTTCTTGCTAATCTAAATTAGTGACAGACATTTCTGCTTTGTAACGGAAACTTTTTCTGAGACCGGACGCGAAAATGTGTCGGCGTTACTAGCGAGCTTCTCGTTCTTGCGAGACGATGTAGCGGATGACGAACTGTCAAGGCGAAGTCAAAATGAAGAGCACGACCTGACAGGATCGTGTGTGCGAGGTGAGAACGATAGAGTACGAAAATAGAATTTGTATTTTCGTATATCACGCTGTTAGAAAGCTTCGTCTACTTGGTCTCATCCGGTTGAGAGATTGCTACTATAAAAGAATTTTATAAAAAGAATTATTAAAAATCTTTTAATGTGCATAAATTCAATTTAAAAAGACATAGATAGCAGTTTAAAATAGCGTTTAGATGAATAAATATATATAATACTATCATTAATATCAATATTATTAAATGCAGATTTTTCTGTAATGTGTATTAACATATTTAAAAATTAATATCTTGAATTCTATCTAAAAGAGTTAATTCTATACTTGAAACATTGTGTGTATATATATAAAATTAATTAATCGATTACAAAATAGAAAATCGCAGAACGATAATAATTAATAATAGTTCAAAATTTATTCTATTTCTTAAATAATTTTTAATTTATATAGCCAGAATCTTATTTCATTATTTTCATAATAAGCAATTTGCTTTTATTGACGATAAAATTGCCAATTTTATTAGCAATAAGAAAGTGACAAAATAGTGAAGAAGCAATAATGTGTAAAAGCGACATTAAAATAACGGGTTTGTTATAATGTAATAGTTTGTCAATTGTCGATGGAGCAGATGCTGATGTCCGTGACAAACCTGACAGCCGTCGCTTCGCGGGTTCTCGTAGATGTACAGAAGGCAAGTACGAGTTTACATTCGACAATGTATCCTTTTAATGAAACATAACTTAATGAGTGATCTTTCAAATATGCGATGCTTTTTCGTTACTTCTTTAAGAATACGTGTTAATTTAAATGTGCAAACTTTTTATCAAACGAAACTTAAATCAACATACGAAATACGCAACATACGCTTTATTGTGAATGGGACAGTGATTATAAGAAATCTGATAGAATATGGAAACTGAGTTGAAAGCAATGATTTATTCAGAGTATACATTTTATTAAGATTTTCTATCTGTCATTTTGCATTTTATTTTTTTTATATGTGATACGCGCGTGTGTGGTGTATTTCTACATAATATTTTCATTTTATTCTAAGAGTTAAATATTATTCATTATTAATATGTTTGATATAAATGGGAACATTATAGGCATTTTCGTGAAAGGTTACATAAGTTTCAATATAATATTTTCGGTTTTATGCTTCTCCTTGACATTAATTTGAAGATATCGATACACAGCGATAAAGCTAACGATAATATTGTTTGTCGTAAGAAATTATACGCAATATAAAATTCTGTCTATTGGAAATGTAATACCTCATATTCATGATGCATGCTCTGACTTTCACAGATATTTTGCGTCAAAACTTTTGGTCATACAAAACGATAATTAAAGAAAATAGGAGCAGAAGCGATCATCACGCAAACCATTGTTCAGTTCCGATCCGTTCATCTATGTCCCTTCCATTCTTTGCTATATTGGAATGTTTAGACGAACAGCTGGTGAAACTCTCATGCTCTCCGCTTTCTTAATTTTTGTATTATCCCGCTGCACACACACACACACACACACACACACACACACACACACACACACACACACACACACACACACACACACACACACACACACACACACTTACGATTAATTCGCAGATATTATCGTCAAACGGTAACGAGCAATAAAGAAACGATGTCTTAGAGAAACATGGCCGTTGAAGACGGCCGTGGAAAAAGTGCATCTTCAATGTCCAGAAGTAGTTTACACGCGACACTGAGTCGTCCGGATCATGGATTTCCCTCCCGCCTTCGATGCGCTCTCGTTTTCTCTAGACTGGACCAGGTCGTTTATAGACAGGTGGGAAGGGTCACATGACGGGCGTCTCTGTAATTTGTCTTTTGTTTCCCCCCCGAGTGTACGCCTGGAGGAAGAAAACTTGCGAGAGGAAGAACAAAGGGCGGAAAGAACCAGCACTTTGAACGGCGAGGAGAAGAGAACGATTACCCCTCTTCGTTTCGTCCTCAGCTTCTTCCTCTCTTCTCTCCATCTCGTCCCTTTAACCATCCTTTTATCTCTCTCTCTCTCTCTCTCTCTCTCTCTTTCTCTCTCTCTCTCTCATTCTGCTTCTCGTTCTTTTAATATCGAGAGAAACCTGCGGCGGCGGCGTCAGCGGTGTAAACGTATGAAAAATGAGTGACGAGAATTTGAAACAAACGAGAAGACAGCCGGTTCTATATCCGCGCTTTGACGTGTCCGAAACAGGTAGACGGCGGGTCAGTGAGGAAGGTTACTGTGATCGATAACTTTTTGATCGTTTCGGACTCCTTCGGGCGTTTTTTCACCGCGCATCGAACGTTACAAATCTGAGGATTCTGGGAAACAATCTACTTTAAAATACAGCAATCTCAATATCTTATTAAAAATGATATCAAGCCTTATGTGCTTGTAAGCCTCGCAAGTTTTTGAATAAAACAAATCAAATTTTACACATAACTTTCTTAAAATAACTCGATATTTACAAATGAATTGAAGAAATAAAATTTCCGTTTTGCGAATTTGATTAAATGAATATTGAAAGCGGTAGTAATAAAAATTTACGTCAGAATATTCTGTGCTTGTTTGAAGCGACGGAAGAATTATTCATCGCGTAAGAATAAAGTAGGTATTTAATGCACCATCGGGTAATTTGTGGGATAAGCGAGGGGGAGAGAGGACTCGAAAACGTGGAATCGGCATAAACTGTGGCTCATTACAGATTTACAGCAAGACGTAGTACGGACTCGGGCGCAAGGTGAGGAGGGGGGAAGGGGGGCAACGAACAAAACTAAACGCACCGGGAACCAGAATGAAGGGAGTCGAAGTGGAATGGCTGGCAGGAAGGGCTCTCTCGGCAGCTTTGGTTTTGGTGGGTTG